AGTGTGTACCTGGAAATAGATTTTGCAGTCTATTAAGAATCAGTCAATATCATTGAAAAGCCTCTTGAATGGACAAGGCTTTCTCATGACCTCTGGTTTACACTGAAGGATCTAGGCATCAGCTACAAAGGATTTCATGAAGTTGGAGTATTTGTTGAACAGAGAATATTTCCATTCTCTGAAGAGGTCCAGGGAGTAAGTGGAGAGATTGATCATCAGCTACAGAGCTTCCTGTCCTTTGCTTCCTTCTGATTCTTCTATTGATAATCTCAAAGTTCTTGGCATTAGAGTCATCTGGTTCTTCTTTGGCCAGTCCTTGGGCACTGAGCTCAGCTTCATTGGCAGGTGATTGTCCAGCAAAGAGTTAGAGCTTCCAGCTTGCTAGCATCAGAGGTCATAGCTGAAGAGCTGAAGCAGCCCAAGAAAATCATCTGGTAGAGACTGGGAGGGTGATTGTTTGGATTGATAGTATCATATAAATAGCTCACTTGAGTGGTGTTGGTGGAGTGTTCAGCATGAGTTGGATGTCAAACCTAGATTTGTATAGAGATAGCTCCTCTACAGAGGCTTCTAGGTATTCAGCATTGAACAAGTAGATAGCTTATTCAGTAGCACAATACTGTAAAATATCAATTTTCTCCATATTGTCTGCTTGCAAGTACTTCTATCCCATGAGGTCTACTCTTCAGCTCATATTTTGAGTCAGTTTCATAATTCATTCTCTAAACATCTTATTGAACTTTTTAATATAGAGATTTTGAAGCTCCTGTCTCATCTATCTCTCATCTCACCCTTCTAGTTCCTTGTCCTTGAGGGCAAAGAAGAGATTGCATATCAGAGATGTCCCTTCAGATGCTTTCACCATCACTGAAAAATCTTCCTGGGTGACTGGATGCAGGTTGAGCAGAAGACTGCTCTCAAGGCTGAGAAAGTCCAGTGACAGGCTGATCAGATTTTCCTCAGGATGCTCCTGCTGTCTTCTCTAAGCACTTATGATATTAGAGAAACTGGTTCTGGAATTGATCATCAAGAAAGAGATTGAGGATTCTTAACCTAAGAAATCTTCTGAAGATATTATCACTGAGATGAATGGGATCTGGTCACTGGATCTTATAGGCAGATGATGGAGTGGTTCAAGCAGCCTCAGAAGGTCAGGGTTCTGGAGAGAGCTGACAGGCTTCAGCAGTGATAAGCTCTGCCATGTCTGCTCAACTAGACTCTCAGAAGGGTTGGCAAGTTGAGCCTTAGTGTGTAAGCTCAAAGCATCAAAGATCAGTGGTTTCTTCTGAAGAGTTCTTGAAGTCTTGATAGTCCAGGTATTGCTAGATGAGGTAATCAAGATCATCCTTTAGAAAGTCTCTCATGTTTTTCTGGTCATGTCAGCTGATGCTGTTGCTGTTGAGGTCAAATGTTGAGGGAATGCTTGAATCATATGAGATATAGCTCCTGGCTGAGAAACAGTGAGAGATGTGAGTCTGGACTAACTTATATTCTGAGGTGTTGTTAATTCAGTCATTATTTCTGGCCAAGGAATCTTTAGTGCAGGCTCTAAGTCTATACTCAGAGGACAGCAGAAGATATGAAAGATTCTGAGATGTCATAGAAGTTGAGTGGGAGGTTATCAAGGAGACTAGATGAGACAGGAGAGAGATCTGCCAGAATGTGACAGAGGTATCTCCACTGCTCTGGATGGAGCTGTCTTATTGTGATGACTCTAGTGGATATTAGAAGTTGCTGAGCCCATCAGCTTCTTCTCTTTGTACTTCCTCAATATCTTTTACAGTCAGATTTCTGGAGCCAGCTTCAGATACAGGGTTTGCCTCAGACTTGTCAGAAATTTGAGAAGCAAGAGGTTCTACTAGAAGGTCATGGAGAGAGAGAACAGAGGTGATATTCTATTGGATTCTGTAGAACATATAGATAGACTAATAGTATTTGATTATCTAAGCAGTAATTGACTGGTTGCCATAGCAAAAGAGTATAAGAATAAGGAGCCCAAGTAAGGTGCTAACAATGATGCTCAAGAACCTGAAGAAGTTTGATATAATATTGAGAGTTGCAAGCATTTGGCTTCTTTTACAGTCTAGCAGCATAAAAAAGAGAAAGGTTAAAGCTTTAAGCTAATTGTTAGATCCAATCAGCACATGATCTTTACACATAGTAAACTGCAGCTGTATCATATTCATACAGTCACCACAGAGTCCACTTAGTGTGATTAGAGGCTGTGCATTCAAGACTGTCCAAGAAGGCTTGAGAGAAACATGATATAAAATAAACTTTAGCTCAAAGCTGGATTGTTACAGCAAGAGCTACACTACTTATATACTGTTCATTGGGTGATAAATATAGTTCTGACCTATTGTGCTCTCTTATGCTAAAGTGTTATGATGTCTATTCATTGAGAGTGAGACAATGCAGTATTGTCTATAGACAGGGTGTCATCACTCTCTCAGAACAATAGTGTGAATGCTCTGATGTAGCTAAGAGAATTGTTCCATAGTCAGTAAGCATCTGAGATAAGATAGGCACTCTGATAAAATAAGATAAAGTCAATAAGACAAGATAAAATAATAAGATAAAGGAAAAATCATAATATTTTTAGTGCTGCTGAATCTTCTTTCAAATTTTCATACTTTGCTTTGACTTTAGAAAATACAACATTATCCTCCAGGATTTTCCATCTGTGAAGCTTATATAATGTCTTTCACCATGGATACTCTGAGTTTGAGCTGGTCCTCATAGATCTGAAAATGTCATTTCATCTATTTTGGTATAGTCTCTTTCAGCTTCATGCAGAGATAGCTCAGTATGATGCTTAGCCTTTATGCAGGCTTTGCAATCTGTCTGAAGCTTGGCTGACTTATCTACATCTATTCTCTTGACTATTTTCTTTCTGAATAGTCTTTTTATTGAACCCATGTTTAAATGATCCAATATTTTGTGCCACTTTTATCATGATCAAACTGGTTTTGTAGCACAGACCTAGATTATATCTGAGGCAATAATGTCAAAGCTGTATATCTTTGATATCTTATCTCTATAACCAATTGTCCTGTCACATGATGAGACAATATTCATCTAAGACTCTTTGAATTTGAGTTCAAACCCAGCATCTGTGATATACTCTAGTGAGATAAGATTGAATAGTGTGTCAGAACAGTGGATACACTCCTTTAGTGTGACTTGAGTGATCTTGTCTTCTTCAACTATTTTAATCTTGACAGTTCCCCTTCTCAAGCCCTTAGATTTGCCTACATCAATGACTTCATGTCCTGGGGTCTCAATATAGTCAGAAAAATATAATCTATTTTTGACTATATGTCTGATAGTGCCAGAGTCTCTTAGCCATGATGCTCCTGAGAGTGAGGTAAGTGTGATATCTGTTGCACAAAATGCATAGTCTTCTTTATCTGGATCCAATTTGGCAACATGTGCCTGAGTCTGGCTCTTCTCTTTTTCTTTTCATGACTTTCTAATATTCTTTTTCTCATTTGGGCAATTTGTCCTGATGTGACTAGTTTTCTCACATCTGTAACATGTGATTTTCAGACTGAACTTCTTCTTGTCATATGCTGCAAGTGTCATGGTCTGGTCAGAAGTCTTTTTCCTTAATCAGATGTCTTTCTGGAGAATTTGGAAAATCAACTTATAGGAATCTTTCAAGTCAGCAGTGTCCACTGATGAAATAAATGAATTTCATAATTCTAAGAGTGATGTAAGCAGTGTGATAGGAAAGTCCTCTTCCTCAACTTTCTGCTTGAGGGATGCCAGCTTCTTCTGATAGAACCTCATAGTCCTAATGTGCTCCTCTATGTTTTCTCCTTCTTTGCACTGTGCTCTGAAAAATTTCCTTCTAACAAGGACAATTCCCATGAGTCCTCTGGACTCATACATATCTTTCAGAGCTTTTCAGACTTCTGCTGAAGTCTTTGAACCAGCAATATACACCAGCAGGCCATCTAAAACCTGCAATCTTATTGTCAAAAGAGCCTTTCTATTGCTCTTCTTCCAATCTGCCACCAGTGCTGCATCTGCCAGAGCCAGAGTGCTTCCATCTGCATAATCAATTAGGTCTAAATTGGTTAGGATATTGATCATCTTAATTTTTCAAGTCAGATAATTTTTCAGGCCCTTAAGGAGGTCAATTCTGTACATGGACTGGCTATCTATGTGATTCTACATGTGTACATAAAGTATGAAAGAGTGTGAAGTGTGTAGTAATGTAAGTAGTTCAGTTATGGCTGAAGCCCATAACCTGTTGAAAGTATAGAGGAGAGTAAAGTACAGAGGATTAGATCAGCCTCTTGAAAGAGAGACATTGTACTTAAATACATTTTGTACTACTTCAAGAGCTTTCTACAAATTACTATGTAAGTCCTGATCATGGTCCAAGTCAGCTGCTGCTGATTGATATAGTAGGACATTCTCATACTCACTCAGGATTGCTATCCCAACAAATATGCTTTCTTCCAAATCATCAGCACCTAAATTCCAACACTCTTAGAAGTTGGTCTCCCACACATGCACTTTATCATCCTCTGTATCACTTGAGAGAATCATTTTGTCTATCTTGGAGTGTAGACTGAGGATAAGCTGGTGCTGCAAGTGTTGAAAAAGAGGTCAATCTGATTTGGCAAGACATGCACTGCTAGGGCCAGTTTCTTTTTAGCACAAAAACAGACATTCTGAAAATGTTGTGACTTTCAGTTATCTTTATATGCTGAAAAAATGGGATAAGAAAAACATGATGAAAAAATTGCTATTTTTAGCACTTTTTATATATCAAAAACAAATTCTTTTCTGCAAATAAAAGTGGTTTCCTTTGTCCTGGCAGTGGGGGATGCCTTTTTTAATTCAATTTTCCCTGCTGTTTTCCTTTACAGAAAAGAATATGGAAATGATCTCATTTACCAACTCATTTTACTGAACTTATTTTTACTATTGCAAAATTGAATGAAATGTCATAACATTTTTAGGTCCTGTTTTTCTGCCAAGAAAATGTTCCAGTCCCAGCAGTGATGCCCAGCGAGGTTCCGAGAGCATCGACTCCTCAAGTGGCTATGAGAATCGCAGAGGGGCTGCGAGGACCTGATTTTCTCCTTCAACATAACATGGTCCATTGATGATAGCACAATAAATAGGGGTATGTCCTTCAATATTGTGATCCTGAATGATACTGGAGAGGCAGAGTGAGCGGGAGTTGCATGCTTCATAGCAACTTTCCAAAATCTCTCGACACGGAGGCGCACTAGTTATCGAATTAGGTCGGACGAGATCATGAATAAGTGCTACTATGGTGATTTTCACTTGACCACTGAAAGTTCGCATGATGCCATCGGGTAGGAGGCCCATACGGTTGAAGCCTACTTCAACCTTCATAAGCGATAAGGAGGATTCATGAAAGGGGGGAGGTAACCTATTGGACGACTAGGCACTTCATTTTTCAGGCGTCATGAGTGCTGAATCACGTCGAATAGCGGAAGTGGGGAGGAAGGAGGTTTAAAAGACAGTCAACGAGCTGTATGTGAAACATCAACATCGTAGCATAGCACCAGCGTCTCAGATTCCCAATAAAGACAAACATGGGGCTAGCTCGGTAGATCATACATACTTAGAAATTACAATTACGCTGTCTGATCTTCTTTTCAACGACCAAGTCTTATCGAGTGCACGGCAAAAGGGAAGTCAGAAAGTCTCCAACCGTCGTCGAGCCCAAGGGCCAGGACATGGGTAGATGGTCTTCAGGCAAAACAGTCCAGTTTGGGGAGGGTGTAGCTTTAATATGTGAAAAATCTTGGACAGATAAGTGTTTGCTTTCTGCGACCTGGTGAACGTCAAGCACAGTCTACACAGAAAAACTCCGTGACAATACCTGTATGTCACGCTGCAAAGCGGAAGGATATCCGGCGAAACGAATGCCAGAGCAATTTTCAATGACTGGATGTGAGGGTATCGAAAGGTACACGTCAACAGTCCGTGATGTGTGCATTCGGAACTGCCAGGCAAAATGAGATCAAGTATGAACGAGCAATTTCCATATCTACCTGATGGCACCCAACGACGACCACACAGTTGTCCAAATCATGGAGCATGATACTTGACTGTATCATGGGTAGGAGAAGGACGACATTCCGGAGATTTTGAGCGTGCACGACGGAGATTGTCAATTCCGAAGGTGAAATAAGATTTACCACACAGTTCGCTAGATCTGACAGCATGACATCCCGTGCAGATAAGTCGGACAGGTCAACAGTGAAAAGTTCATTAGATCGTGAGCTGAAGTTCAGCATTGATGCTTGAGATGGCGAGGGTTCTTGAGAAATAGGTTCCACGGCGACGGTGGTGGTCGGAAGAGGATGAGAATGATTGAAAGATGCCTGTTTCTTGAAAGAAAACCGGGACACTGGCTTAGATGCCTTTCTCAGACCCTCCAGTGCAGCTTCGATGGATTTCAGTTGCTACCGTAGTCTTCAATCGTTAAGCCTGGAAAAGAAGATGACCACCGACATTCCCGTACCCCTTCTGGTCATAAGCAGGCAGTGATCCCACGGCATCCGCTAGATCCTTGGTCAACTTTGCGAACCGAGCTAACAGTTCAGCAATGGTTTCGTCCGATATGGAGGGAGCCTCCTTGCACGCAGATATACGATTTTGGAGGTCTGGATGACGCTTAGCTTCAAAATAATAATAATAATAAAACCATACCTGTTTTATCATTCAAAAATTCAGAAGAAAATAGCTGGGAAAAGGACCATTGCTGCTCGGTGCTGACGGAAGACATGCAAGCTGATTGAAGTGTTGAGCGTTTATATATAGAGCGTGCGAACATTCATACATTACGTAAGCTACGGCTGAACTCGAACGGTGACCACAGCTGGCGCGCTAAACAGCGACGCCCGTCGTCTTGTCGTCGCCTCACTCGCTCATGGATAATGCCGCACAGAAGCTATTGGAATCTGCAACACATAGGATGCTTCATGCATCGACCTTCTCCCGGTCTTCTTCTCAGGCGTCTTTAGTACTCACTGATCTCCTCTCGCGTTATTTGGCTCTTTTGTCGTCGACATGTGCGAAACACGCACAACACGCGGGCAGGACGAAGTTGACACCGATGGACGCACTATCTGCTTTGGATGAGCTCGGTGTAAGTCTCGATGAGCTGAAGGAATACGGATCCACTGAGGGTATTGAGCTGAACCGTTACGCGGTCAAGTCCTTGCGTCGCATCGAAGATCTGAATGAATTCAGAGGTGTGTCTTAGACATATGCTGCTAGATGACGTGTTGATGGCTTGTAGCCCAACTGAATGACGGACTACGGCAGGATCGCAATGATGCGATCCCATTGCATTATGCGCCATTCGCCGGTGTCGAAGAATTGGAGGAAGACGAAGACGAAGAAGTAGAGGCGCAGGCTATGTTTGACGGTGAGGAAGATGCGGAGGCATCGTTTGACGAAGACAACGAGTTCAACCTTGATATTCTCCCCAACCACGAACCCAGACATGCCCCTCCGATACCCACATTGCCGCTATCTCCTATATCGAACCCGTCTACGCCACCACGGAAACGGCAACGGACAATAGATTGGGATCCACCGCCTCATATTCCCGACTTTCTACCTCCATTTCCTGCCATCTTACCAGCGTCTCCTCCTCAGACACAGTCCGAACTGGCAGAGGAACCACTTCCCACTGAAACAAAGAACACCAGGCCTCATTCTCCCGCACTTCAGGCGCCACCTGCACAAGCACTGACGTCGTCAGCCACAGCGGATTGGCTGATGCAAGTGCCGTATTCCCAGTCTTCTTTGTCTTCTCAGCCAGAATGGCACCTTCCGTCGCCGCCTACTGATCATGCCACATTACCTGCCCGTATATCCAGATTTCCTACACCCCAAACTGATCAATCCCTCTTTTCTGCATATCACCATATTCTCACGAGTCGGTCATCGTCCGACAGCCTGGGAACCAGCAACCCTCAGAGACATAAAGTCGCCATGTCTTTGTTAGCACTGACACAGACGTCATCCCGGTGGGACCCTCCGGATACGTTGTATTCTAATCTTGCAACAAATCAGCCCAGAGTGTCGGCTATGGGACCTAGCTTTGCTGTGCCTACTCCTGGTGGACATGGCTTCGACAAGGTGAAGGACAAAGACTTCAAATTCCCTGGAATTCCTGGGAAGAGTGTTTCGTCGACTGAACGACTTTCGAATGTCGTGAGTCAGCAGTCCTCAAGAATACCTGAACTTGCCAGACATGTTCTTCCGGTGTGTGTCTGTCATTGATCTTGAGTATTCTTTCCAATATCTCTTTAGTCGAAGATCTTCAATCGTACAAGCAAGCTCAGCAACCCGCCTGTCATGACAGTGGACAGTAAACAACTTATCTATGGAGTTGGTATTCCTGCGCCTTGGAATTCATCTTCAGCGACCACCACAACTACTGACCCAACGACGGGGAAGAAGGAGGAAAAGCCGTGTGCTGTGCCTGACGCCAAGCTATTCGCCACTTGGGATTCTGAGACAAAAAATTATAGGGAACCTCTGGGCCGAGGGAGACAGGGAGGACGATCTGGCAAGAGCATATTAGGGTCCGCGTTGACAAGGAAAAGCAGAGTGTGAGCATCGGGACATTCGCTTTCGTCATGTACTATGTATAGTTGCATTGAATGTAATCTTATCGACGGAGGCACTGTTTAACTTACATGTCTGCTACTACCGAGAAAAGGGTACGAATATCACTGTCACATCCCGTTCACCATTAGGGTATACGGACCCCATCATTCGATTTAGACGGTCGCGGTAGTTCGGCATTTGCGGCAAGTAGCAGGAGGAACCGTCACAGTCACACTTGACTCTTGTCTTCCACCATCACCAGCACCGACAGCTACTTGTATCTTTGGGCTTTTACGATTCAGAACTACTGCGATGGCTGACGTTGACGTCGATATGGAACCCCCGGTGAAGAAGGAGAAGAATGAAGACAAGAATGGTAAGCAACGATTTGAAGTGAAGAAGGTATGTCATCTCCAAAGGATTTTGGTCGGCGCCTTGGCTGATGCCTTGTTGTAGTGGAATGCTGTGTCACTGTGGGCATGGGGTGTGTCAAGTCATTCTTTGTGGTATGTGTGGTGGTGTCTGAACGTATCTGTTATAGATATCGTCGTCGAGAACTGTGCTATCTGCAGAAATCATATCATGGATCTTTGTGAGAATATATCTTTTAGTCAAATCTATCAGATCTTTTAACATCCGCTTTTCCTGTGTAGGCATTGAATGTCAGGCCAATCAAGTATCTTCCACTACAGAGGAATGCACTGCGGCCTGGGGTATCTGTAACGTACGTCGCGCCACCTCCTTTTGTACTGCTAGCTCTTATGCTCGCCGCCTTTAGCATGCTTTCCATTTCCACTGCATTTCGCGGTGGTTGAAAACTAGGAACGTCTGTCCTCTGGACAACAGAGAATGGGAATTGCAAAGGTCTGACTGTTCCCATAATCTTTGTCATTCAAGTACTCAATATATCTCGTAGATATGGCCGATAAACTATATACTCATCGATTACGTTGTACAATCATACCATACAGATGTTTCTTTTTTTATGTCATTGAACGATGATACAACGACAGCGAAGAACGGCCAACTTCGGTCACAGGCAACTTGTTCATGCGAGGCACGTCAAATTGAAGTTGTTATTGATTGCCACGACGCCCAATGTCCGAATGCTCTCCACTGGTTGAATTTCATACAACATCGAAGTTGATTTGAGACGTAGTTATATTGGCAATCGTATAGATATATTCTATTTGGGGGCGTGTTGTACATTACAAGCAAGAGATGAACTATCATAGTCTAGAGGTATCAAGACCGCTGTTAAGGAACATGAGCCTAGATGTAACTGTACAGTATAAAAGGCGGTATGATTACTTCACGTGATGACGACGCGGCCACGAAAAAACCGGCCCTAAAGTTTTGTTGAATGCCGTTTTAGGCCATACCTCTTTCATTATCAACGGCATTGTACCTCATTGTGCTCAATCGAATCCTGCGATGACCTCTCAGTCATCTGGGCGTCGGTCGCCCTCAAATAGAGCCGGGACCTACAGCACATTATCGCCATCAGCAACACCAATGTCGCCTTCAAGATTGTCGTATTCTTCACGCTCAGGTCCGTCCGTCGCTTTTTTGTTGACAACGCGCTGACCCCCTTCAGATTCATCCGATACAGGAGACTCTGCACACAATATGCGCCGTGTGAATATTTCACCATCCGCATCACGAACAAATTCCTATACTGAGGAGGCCTGGGATGAGGGAGATTCTGCTGACGAAGTAGAGGCAAACCTTAACAGTTTGGACGATGAGCTCGATGAGACGGAAAACGCGCTTTCGACATGGTCATCTTCTGATCCCCATTCCTATACGGGCTCATATACGGGTACTGGCACGTACACAGGTTCAGGCACATACACCGGCGTGTACACAGGTTCACCCTCTGTCCTCTCACTCCCATCTTTGCTGGGTACACCGACATACTCAGCGGCTTCATCGTATCCGCCACCAGCCGGAAACTCAGCGCTGCGACTGAGTAGAATTACAGAAAGGACGGAGGGTACTCAGTCGCGTCCTGTTTCTGGGGCCACCGTTCCCACGCGTTCATTGGCTCGAACACCAGAGCCTGCTCGTAGTTCTTTCTTTGGCGGGGCAGTATCACCCTCGCATTCCAGATCATCGACGGACCCAGGTGCAGACCGTGATCTCCCACCGCCAGGTAGAGCCACTGAACTTATTGCAAGATTCGAAACAAACAGCCCCGTTGGTCCGGGCGGGCATCTTCGTGCAGCCTCTGCTCCTGGAGTTCGTCGTTCCCCTTCGCCCAGCAAATCCAACTCCTCTGCATCTTCCGGTGACACGAGGCCGACATTCTCCACCCTTCTTTCTCCGCCTGTAAGGCCGTCAACTACGTCTGCGACGACACGTTCCGGGAGCTCGCCCTATACCACTCCGAGCACATTCACCACGTTAACATCCAGCCAGACTCCAACGAATACTTACACGTCAACAGGCCAGTCAAGCAGTTACACTTCCGCGACCCCAACCCAGACGTCCACTTCGACCTTACGTCGTCCGCAGAGGTCATCACCGCGTTATCCCCTGGCATCGGTACGAAATATTGTCGCATTGTGGAAGGAGAGGACCCCTTCAAGGTCGCCTACAAAACCGACGTCTTCGGCAGGGTCAGATACTGATCCGCCTCCTCCCCCTTCCCAGCCGGCGGATGGCGACAATGGTCTTTTTGGCATCAGAAGGCGTGCTAGTCTACGACGCGATGGAGAAGGAGATTCTCAGGACACAGGCAATGGAAACTGGGCTGCCCTTACGCCAGAGGTTCTAGGAGAACTGAGCCGGTTTGCTGGAGGGCCGGAAGAAACAGTAAGCATTTTAATCACCGGTACACGTGGTGCTAAAACTGATTTTTTCCCCTTCAGCCCATCCATATTGGCACTCTCTATTATCTCAATGTGCACACTGCTCCGCCCTATTTCTGGCAAAGATGTCAAGCGTTGTTGTATCGAAACACCCTTCTCTTGTCCTGGATAGCCCCTGGCGCTGGTCGCGGTGTTGTTCAGTTGGATTTGATCAACTGCGTCGGCGTTGAAAGTGCGCTAAGTTTAGGACACCCTAGGGCTCGTGATGATGTAGGAGCCATTGCAGCAAATGCCCAAGAGGAAAGGGAAGGTCGGGAAAAGGGAGATATAGTGGAAAGCTTGGTCCCTTTTTGGATGGTTTATGGCGATGGAGTTGAACGTTTGGCCACTGAGAGTCTGGTTGAACGACAACGATGGGTGAATAGAATTTGGTGCGTATTCACTAGGAAACATTTATTTTGCTGACGAATGGTTCTGTGTCTAGGGAGGCCGTCAATAGTCAACCAGCACCGTCGGTTTCCCGCACAGGCTCATATACTCAGACCCGGTCAAGATCACCCACGGGATCCATTCGAACGATTCTCTCGATGGAAAGCCGCAGCAGTCTCAATTCTGCAACCAGTTCTGGGACGGGATCGCGTTCAACCATCTACGTTCCTCCCATTGGAGAAGTCCCGGACATGGATGATCCTTATGGATCTGAAGCCGGAAGATCAGTGTCAGCGTCATCTCGAAGCTCGAGGTACCAATCGTTTAGCTCCGATTCTGAAAGGAGGCGGTCACTTTTGTCATCTTACCATGATCACACTGTAGACGACACCGTTATTTCAGGGCGGGATTATCTTTACCCTGGTGACCCTCGAGTCATCTCTGGTGGTACGCGTAGAAGGCTTAGTGGAAGGCTTAGGAGATCGGGATCAATGACCGATTTGGGTATCGATTTTGCGTCTAACCGATCTTCGAGTGAATACGGAACTCCGCAATCTGGAGATGAAGATGATTCCAGGTTCTTCTCTGCAGGGGGGTCTAGTGGAAGGTCTTCGTTCTATTCGTCGTCGTCATTCACCAGAGCGACGGGAACAGGGACAGCCGTCACACCTAGCGACACATTGACGACAACGAGGATGACAGGATTTACCACAAGTGATACACAGATTGTTCCGTCGACATTGTCGTATAGAGGGACAGAGTCGGCCTCGCTCCTCGGTGACTCACACAGCTCAGGCACTGGCAGTTACACGTACAGTTCTGGGTACGGATCTTCACCATATACGAATAGTGATACTCTTACGGTACCCTCGAGAAGTTCCCTATCGAGAGCTGGTGGAGTGCGAAGACGCACTCGAACACACTCAGGATCTTCCAGCGGCAGCGGCTATCAGCCATCTGGGAGCGAAGACAGTTTAGAGAGGGAACGTAGAGCAGAGCTCAGCTATTCAAGCGGAAGCTACACTGGGAGCTACACAACGTTGAGTGGAAGTTATAGTTCAGGTGGAAGCTATACAGTGAGTGGTACGGGAACAAGCGAGACTGGTAGGCTTTCAGCTTGTAAATTTTCATAGATGTATTGACGAGAAATACTTTAGGTTATGATGTGTGTACGGCTTCAGATCTGTCGGATACTACGCCTAGGACGACGACCATTGCAACAAGTGCTACATGTACTCCCTTTGCGTCGGCATCTATATCTTCCAAGGCGGAGGAAGAGACGTCCTCCGAAGAAAATTATGTCACTGCTTCTCAAGGTAGCAGTTACGCTACTCCAAGGTCTCCGTCCATAGCGTCGTTCGAGTCATTGCCCTCGATTCCGTCCCTCTACAGTACAGCTGATGAAGGAACAGCAACGTATCACACGGCTTCCGAACCTACTGAGTACAGTACAGCCGAAGTGTGTCCTTCGAGTCTTGCTGACATACCTTCCGAACGCAGTACACCGGTTCCGTCAGTAAAGGACATCGATGAAGTGGTGGAGCTTTCGAGAACTCCCAGTGTGAAGGAGTCACCCCTTCCGCCCCTTCCGACTGAATCGCCTGTAGTTATTCAACATGAGATTCTACCAGAAGATATTGCTCTTCCAGAGTCCTCGACAGAATCATCAATAGGGGAGTCGTCGCTTCCTTCCATCACGAGTGAATCACCGCTCCTGACACCGACACCGACTACCTCGGATTTGCCAACACCGACACCTTCTTCGCTGACGCCTTCAGTTTCCCCTACCTCTCCACAGCCAACGATGAGGAGCATGAGGAGCATTTCCAGTATCAGCTCGGAAATTCTTCCTTCTTCCAGCCACTTGACGACATCATCGGTCCCTTCTTCTGCTGGCCCCCCAAGCAGCCCAAGCAGCAGTTCTATTCCAATTACCCAAGCAACGCCATCTATGCTTCCTACATCGGCCACGATGCCTACGGAATCCAGTCTTAGTCTTAGCAGCAGAAGCCCGATGCCTAGCGTCTCAAGGTCTCCGTTGACTCCTTCCATAGCGTCTACGCCCTCTACCGCGGGACCGTTTGCAGTGGAGACAGATACGACATGGGACTCATCGCAATTGGCACCGTCACCTTCGATGATGTCACTCGCTTTGCACGATGGACCAGATGTTTCATTTGAAACATCGTTTCTGAGGCCAACTGGTTCGGTTTATTCGTCGGCTGATAGGATGAGCACGATTCCCGAGACGCAGTCAGCTATCACGCCTCACGAGCGACTGCCGACGCTATCTCCTGTTACGTGGACCGAAGCATCACTGTCTCCAGTGACGTTTCCTCCTTCGTCTTCGACTCCCGCGTCCTCCTCTCCGTCTCTTTTGTACCTGAGCCCTCCTGGACCAACAGAATTTAGACGAACTCCTTCAAGTGCCTCGACCAGCTCGTACAGTTCTGACAGGACCATTGATACCTCTTTCCTCGACTCAAGTTCTGTTATCGAAGAGTGGGAAATAGAGGAAGCGAGAGTGGTAACTTCCCGCTCCTTTCCTTCGACATATCCTAGTTTATTAACAACACCGATTGCTTCTGCTGTACAGTCCGTCGCACCTTCTACTCTTCCTTCTGTTGTGCCTTCTGTTGTGCCGTCTGTTGTAGCATCGGCAGTACCGTCTGTGATGTCATCTTCAAGATCTGTAAGTCCAATAATGTTTCTGCATTAAGTCTATTGTTAATCAATCCATGTAGGCTACACCTCTTCCGATGCGGCCTCGCAGTATACAAACACCGCCCGTACCGATACCGTCCGTCCGAACGCCGTCGGCGCGGACTCCATCCGAGCGAGCACCGTCGACACGGCCTCCATCATCACGAGCGCCGTCATCGAAATCTTCGTCGGCACGAACGCCATCAGTACCTGCACCAACACCGCCTGCCTCAACATCATCAGTCCCAACACCATCAATCCCAACACCATCGGTCCCAACACCCTCTGTCCAGACACCATCTCCCCGCACGCCGACTGGTGTTTCGCCCTCGGTTAGCCTGTCTACACCTCGAGGGGATACAACACAAAGAGAGATGTGGTCCGACACGGTGTCATCTGCGTCCAAATCGTCTTCGGCAACTCCAACTGCACGTCAAGAGTCTCGCAATATCTTTGATGACCTGGACAACTTGGCCAATGAGATTCGTGCCTACGATCAGAATCGGGAAGATGACAACAATGATTTACAGGACATGCTTAGGGGTATTCACAATGGCATCAGAGAGCTAACCGACCTTGTTCATCCCCGTAGCTCACCCCAACCCCTCAGGCGGGAGCTTGTTGAAGAACGAGTAGGAGGCAGCAGTGTCATGTCTGAAGAGATCGAAACTCCCCATGATTTTAGGCTTGTGCCATCCGAACTGGCTCCATCGAGTTTGGACAGTAGTGTGTCCTTCCTATCATCCCCTTACAGTCTCCGGTTCCCACCAACGGAAAGGGCGGACTCTCCCACACCATGGGATTCAGTAAGCGCGTTTTCCCCGCCATCGTCGTCGTCTTCCTCTTCGCCGTCATCGTCAAGTCCCCTGTCACGTGTATCTTCGCCTGACAGGGAGCCAACAGAGGGTTCTGTGACACCTATACCAAGGAGCTCCAGAGCCTCACCACCTTTGCCGCCTCTCCCTGTTCCGCCACCAGCTATACCTATCCCTGTTCCTGCACCTGTCCCGCCAGTCCTGCCAGTCCTGCCACCTAGTAGTTTGTCATCTTCATCCGATGTGGTCCAGATGCCTGATTATTCAGACACTTTGGCATCTATCAAGGATGATCTGCGATCACTCCTTGATGGACAAGGGTCTCTGGCTGACTTGGTTCGGTCTCGTCCTGTCCCGGATAACAGTGAAGTTCTCAATAGGCTGGGCACATTAGAGGATTTACTGCGAGATTTGTCTGATAAAGTTCGTCAAGGACCATCCTCTCCTCAAGTTCGTCGTGATATTACACCACACTCTGAGTTTTCGACGCCTCGGCGGCCTGCGCCACCGTTCCCGGAGCCTGAAACAACCGTGCCTCCCCTGCCCATTTTTACCCTGCCTTCCCAGCCTATGCCCGAGCCTGAGGTTCCGCCTCCACCTCCACCTCGGTCTCCTCCCCCACCTATGCCTGAACCTGATGTGGTGCCACCACCCTCGGAGTCAGTATCAGAGCCTGAAGGATCTTCTTCTGCAGGAAGCTATTTCCTTGATAGATTTGAAGACCTTTTAGACAACTTGAGGAGAGGCCAAACAGTTGCTCCCACCCCACGACCTGCTCCTGGAATACGACCATCAGTTCTTCAAGAACTCGATAATTTGATATCTGGTCGACTTGAAAGCTCTCTTGTAACACCACCAGAGCCCTTTAGAGGATTGCGGTTTGTTCCAGGTCTCAGACCTAGAGAGAGTATCGAATCACTCTTACAGACACGTCCGGCGACAGAGCCTCCTCCGACGCAATTCCCTGACATGGGTCCTCCTCGTCCCTCTGGACCTGGACGCCCAAGAACACAGCGCCGACAAGGTCCCAGAGTACCACACCGTCGGCAGCGGCAGCGGCAGCAGGAGCCTCCGCCACAACAGCGACCACACTCAACGTACCAACCGGAGCCACCGTCGCCGCCCACGCCTTTGCCATCATCAGTTGTTCCACCGCCTCCGATCTTTGACCGGCAGGCGGATGTCCCTCAAGAACGACGAGCCGCAAGGTTACCTACTCCGAGACCTGTCATAGTATGTCTCTTTGAGTATCTCCCATACTGTTCCTTTACAAATTTCTTTTAGCCCGCCAACTTATACGACGACGGTCCCGACCGTACGCAATCTGCACCACCGCCATCACACTTGGGCCGTGATGATGACGTTCACGGGGAGAGTTGGTATAGACGCGTAAGTTTTCTCTGGTGTAGCGATTTCATAACTAATTGACGTCTTCAAGCGACCGCCTGGTGGCAGCGAACCCGGTCCAAGTGGGCCTGGTTATGGTGTCCCACCTCCTCCTGTTTTACCTCAACAGCCAGCAGGAGGTCCTCAGTATATGCCCATGCCTCCTGGACCTGTAAGATTACAATCGTTGTCCTCAACTTAATATTAATGCCATGACATTAGATCCGTGTGGATTTGCCTCAGGAGTTCAATACCATTCTTGCCATCCTTCGAGTAAGGATGCATTCAAATGTATATATAACACTAATTTACTGAATGCCCCCGTAGGAAAATCGATTAGCTCAACTTGCGACCGTCGATCAGCAGCGAGAACTCATGCGGTACTTGCGAGGGCTGAATGGATGGCTGGAGAATGATGTCCAGGATCGCCAGAACGAAATTCGAGGAGTGATTGCTCGAGTGGAGCAACTGGGCAACGAAATCCGTGGTTTGCGCAGCGGTGGACGTATGTACTTTTGTGCCTACACAATAACTCCAGGCTCATTAATTTGCAGGTCCCCCGTCTGATGGTTCTTCAGTCTCAGGTTCGTCAGACGGGAGCTCTCCCGACCGTGGTGAGATACCTTTTCCTGGAATACCACCAGGTTTTGTCCCCGATGCCCAACAGGGTGGCCCATCAATGCCGCCGCCTGAACAGTATGTTATAAATCAGCCTGCGCCCGTAGTACCAGTGATTCCTCCAATGTCGGGATACCCTCAGTATCCACCAGTGCCAGTGGTTCCTCCGATAGGTGCATATGATCAGCCCGTAATTCCTTCCATGAGTGGTTATCCAATGCCCATGCCTCAGCCTATCAGACCAGATATAGGCGGACCAGCTGAGCCTTTCTATCCACCTCCAGCACCGGGGGCTACATTCATCCGAGAGGAAGGGAGTCCCTCTAGTAGTAGTGCATCAACTTCACACTCGAGTCGATCAGGGTCCCCACGTTCGGACATTTCCTCTGTCCACTATGTTCCTGCTCCTGGTACAATGCATGATGCTGCCTATCCTGGCACTCCTCATCCTGGTCGGGGTCCCAGCCCGCCTATTGTCACAGTTCCTACAGCTGTTCCCCATCCTACAGGTACCGACATCTCCCATCACCCTCCGTCTGGTCCATCTGCCCCCCCTGCGGGAGCTGTCCCTGCGCAACAACCCACGATTATTATCCACCCTCCACAGCCGACAATGCCTATGGGTCCGCAGGGAATAGTGCCAGTGGGACCCCCAGGAACTATACCGCAAATGGTGCCAATGCATCCACCGACCGCTTTACCGATACCACCACAGCCACAAACTCTCATCATCACGCCATCAAGATCGAGATCCAGCTCGGGATCATCACCGTCACGTCGATCACGCTCAAGGTCCCGTACCCACTCAGGGCGATCGCGTTCCCGTTCTTATTCGCGTTCCCGTTCGCGGTCTCCTACGCCTCCGCCTGGGCCTATGGTAGTAATGCAACCTACCCAGGGCCCGAGTCGCAGTAGATCTCGCTCTCGCGAAAGGTCCCCACCTCGTACAGCACAGCCTATCATTATTTCGGGAGGCGCTCCACTTCCCGTGCCAATGCCAGCTCCAGCCATTTTTCAGCGAAGTCGTAGTCGTAGTCGTAGTCGTAGTCGTAGCCCAAGCAGTAGCCGTGGCAGCTATCGGCACACTCCAGTGCAACCCATAAGTCCTTTGCCGCCACAGATTCAGCCTACGATCGTTATTCCTCCATCTCATCCTACAGAGGGAACCGCCTACCTTCCACCACAGACAATTGTTGTTCCAGGGAGAAGTAGCAGAAGTAGTAGGAGCAGCAGCTTAAGGCGTCAGCGATCTAGGTCGCGCTCACGGTCCCCCTCGCCTCGTACTCCCGTGTTACTTCCAGCCCGAACTCACTCTCCTACACCGGTTATTGTTCAGGGTGCTCCAACGCAGCTACCACCACAGCCTCTACCGACTCAATACCCTCCACAAGTACCAACTCAATATATACCGGTTCCTACTGGGTTTCCAAGTCAAGCACCGACTCAACTCCCTATACCACCTACAGGACCCATAATCGTCGAGGAACGATCCAGTAGACCCAGCAGATCCAGGAGCAGATCCAGGAGACGTCATTCTCGGAGTCCACGCCGCAGGTACTATTACTCCAGAAGCCCACGACGGAGGTCAAGAAGCAGGTCAAGGACTAGATCAAGGACAAGAAGTAGATCAAGACATAGACCAAGACGACGAAGCCGACACCGAAGCGTATCAAGTGACTATGATAGTGGTCGCAGGCGCAGTCGTAGCCGCCATCGGCGCCGTCGCAGTCCCCATCGTCGTAGTAGAAGTCCCCATCGTCGTAGTAGAAGTCGTTCTGGAGATTCTTATCGCAGTTACTCTCCGCGCCGTAGTTATTCCTCAAGGCGCGGTTCTCCCGGCCGCAGTCACCAGCGTCGACCGTCGGAATATGCAGATCGTCCCACTGGACCTCATCCGCCGACTGTTGGTACAGGTCTTCCTTACGGTCCACCTGATCACCCGGTCCCTATCCCCTTCCATGATCCAACACATACGGTGATTGTGCCTCCTCGTTCGAGGCCTCGTTCCCGATCGCGTTCTCCCACGTACTCCCATGGAATAGTACCGACGGTCGTAGTGCCGCCCAGTCGAAGTGGTAAGTTTTTGTTTACTGTCTAAAAATTCCTTTTGCTCACCAGTTTGTTTCAGCTTCACAGCCGTCTTATCGTGAGCAAGAGGTACCAATGCACGTACCTTCTCACCCTGTCCATACTGTCCACGAAACGCCCATTCGAAGACCCCCTGACGACACAGCTCATGATAGAAGTCGTGCTCCGACGCGTACGCCAACTCGTATTGGACACTCCCCGTCTCGTCCTCCAACTCGGATTGCGTCACCCTCTCAATCCTACGCTCCATCTCGCACTGGTACTCGCGTTCAAACACCCTTTGAAGATTATGATGTTGAACATGGACATGAACCTTCTCGTGTTCACGGCCCAGAACCAATTGAACCCTATGGAGTTCCTTATGGTACACCCATTCCGTCCCATGAACGACCGATTGTGCCCCATGAAGGCTCTCATGAAGTTCCAGTTGTTGTTCCTCATGAAGTCCCTCGTCGGACACCCAGTGTTCCTCGTACAGTTCCTCATGAAGATTATCCAAGGGGAGCGAGCGTCTCTCCCGGGACATCGCCTATCCCTCAAGTAATACCTCAAGAACTTGCTGAAGTCCCTCGCGAATCGTCACCACGCCAGGTCCCAGCTCCAACCCACGGTATACCTTCTCGGGCAGCGTCTCGTGCGGCCACCCGAGTGCCAACCCGCTCACCATCTCCCAGACGGTCCCGTTCCGCAACCCCGAGGCCTCGTTCGGAAACACCTATACCAATACCCACGCCTGGCGGTTCGGGAAGCTCGTATCGCAGTATCACCCCTCCTCCGAAACCCTTGTCACCGAGAGTGGGAGATTCGGGACTAAGAGAAGGTGATCTGGGGTCGAGAGATGTTCCAGAGTCGCGAGGAGATGTTCCAGGTTCGAGAGGGGAGGATCAAGCGCAAGGCAGGGCAACCCCCGTTATCGATCAAGGGATCGCTGAACGGTTTGCTAATCTTGACGAACTAGAGAGCAGACTACAGGATGTCGCAAGACATGCAGATGAGGCGGAAACCGACCGTGATAACCGATTCATGGAGAGCGAAGGTGAACGCCATCGGATCTTCGAAGATGCCGAGCGGCGCAGGGATGCTGAAGCGCAAGAAGCCCGTGAAGCTTTGTTAAGTGCCCTTGAAAGTCGTCTCGAGGCTCCGCTCCCACCCCCTGCTGTTGAGCCCATTCCCGACGTCCCACCACCCGAAACAGTGCCTGAAGATGATGGTCTCTCGCTGCATTCTATCCAGGCTGCAACTCAGGAGGCAATGTCCAGACATTCCGAGGACCTTCGGGATATCGTCAAGATGGAGAGAGACGAGATGAAGGCCGAACTGGAGCGGGAGCGGGAGCAGCACGCACAAGAGCGTGCGCAAGCTCGGGAGGACCTTGAGCGTGCGAGGGCAGAGCTAGATGCTGAGCGAGCGAAGTTAGTCGAGGAGAAGGATGCGAGAATTCATGAATTAGAGAATGAAATGGCTAGGATGAAGGAGGAGATGGAGGCTGAAAAGGAACAGCGGTCGGCTGAGTTGTTGCAACAGCGTGAAGAGGCAAGCAAAGAGCTGGCAGATGGATTCACTGGTTTGAATGCGGGGTTGGAAGCTCTGCAGAACATGATGAATGAGCAGAAGCAGTGCTGTGAAGAGAAAAAGGCATTGTGCGAGAAGAGGTGGGCGGATAAGGAAGAGAGGAGGAACCAGAAGAAGGGAGACACAGATGAGATGCTTATTCTTTTGAAGCGGATTGAGGAGATGGTGAATGAGTGTCGGGAAGAGCAAAAAGCGGACAAGGAAGCAACTGCGGGCAAGCCTGGTCAGTTATTTTTCGTGTTTGTGTTTCTCGAACTTATGATCCTTCTCTTGAAAGGGCCGGAGCAAATTATTGAACAACTCAAAGAGCAGAATCATGAGCAGCAAGAGCTTTTGCGATCGCTTTCCGAAAGTGAGTATCATTTTGTGTGTTGTAATTTTATGGGAATTGAGTTTTTTGTTCTTAGCTTGGATGGCTGATTGTGCTAGACACCATCAAGAGACTGTTGATGCGGTTCGCCAAACAGCGAATGAACAAGTACCATTCAATGTCCAAGGGGTGAGATTCCACGGTTTTTCGTTTGAAGCATCTACTGATTTCTGTTGTCTATAGTATCTTGATGAGTTTAGTAAGGCTTTGGCATCAGAAGTCCGTATTTTGCTGGGTGAAGTAGGAAAACTCCGAGAAGAGCGACGTGGACTTCAACAGTACGTCTCAATACCATTTTATTTATCATTTGCCTGACTGGATATTCTCAGTGAAATCGGATTCTTGCTGACCACGAAATCCAAGTACGGTCCCGGAGGTGAATTTGACGCTGATTGGGCGCCTCCTTCCGCAGCGCCACCGCCCCCGCCACCGCCCCCCGAGCCCATGCCGCCTCCAGAAGTTCCTCCCGCACGACCTGGTTGGAGGACTGTCAATGTCCGTCCTAGTAAGAAAAAGAAGAGGGATAGCGGACCACCTCCTGCCGCTCCTCCGCCTGGACCGGATCCTCGCGCCCAAGTACGTTCGTGGGCACAATGGCAACGTGAGTAGCCGAATTTCAAGCGTTTCGAGTATGTGAACTGACTGTTTTTTTTTTTCTTAGCCGAGCCGCACTTGGTGCCCACTCCCCCGAGCATCGAGCCCCAGTTACTCGTCCCTGATCAAGGTAGTCCGGGGTTGTTTGGGCCAAGGTCACCACGAGGTTCGATCATACGGTAAGGAGTTGGGCGCTATGTTTGCATTTTAAACTTTGCTTTTCATCTATGATAATTTACGTCCATCTCACGAAATATACCGTTCATGCATTTATTCCCTCAGTTTGTGTTTTAGCTAGGAAATATTAATGTTATTTCCACATTCTGTTTTTTTTCTGTAGAGATTACATAAGTGGTGGGCAGATATGGTTCCGTCCGTGTTTCGATCACGGGCCCGGTGCAATCTAACGGGTGATTCGCCTCGGACATATATGATTCCGTGCTCCTACTATGACCTTGCACCCATTCCGTTTTGTCCCCCTTCATTTCTCCTCACTGGCGTCGTAGTAATTGCTCAGTAATTCTTCTTTTTCCTTGCTGTTCGTCGCTCATTCGTCTCTCCAGAATATGGCTTCGTTCATCGTACCCATGGAACTCGTCGACAGCATGTTTGACGAGCTCAACACCCCGGCCGACCTCTTTTCTTGCTCTCTCGTGTGTCGCAACTGGCACGCGTTTGCCCAAGCGCGGCTGTTCTCTCGTATTCAGCTCGACTCCAATTTTGGCAAGCCTCCAGTGAATACTGTGCACAAGTTCCATCACCTGCTCTCTGCGTCGCCGCATGTCGCATCGCATGTCAGGGAGGTGACTGTATGCGTACGGGCCCATGACAGTGACGACAAATTACCATGGATACTGTCTAGGCTTTCTAATCTCAAGAGCCTGAAGATCCAAGGTAGCGGTCGCGTCGTTTGGGAGAACTTGCCTCAGGGCGTCCGGGCAACTTTGGAGACAGCCATGACCCGTGTCGCCCGTCTCCAGCTCAGCTTACTCATCTTCTCCGGCGACATGCAGAACATCTTCTCTCTGTTCGCCAAGTCGACAGTGTTAACGGATCTTGCACTGTTCCAGATCTTTCCACGCACCCCCGCACCCGTGGATGTCAATGGTCCTGTGACTCAGGGTATTCGCTTGCGTTCACTGTCCCTCACGCTCAAACCCGAGGTCCTCACATACACGCTGCACATCCTCGGGACCACGATGGACGTGTCGGAGCTTCGACATTTGGCAGTCCACACCTATTCGTGGTGGGACAACAAGGCGTTGCAGGAGTTTTTGAAGATTCCTACTCTCCAGTCGCTTTCATTTGCTCCCGCTTCTCCTCTTGGTGAGTTTTGACTCTTCCACTTTCACTGGTTCCGCTAATATTTCAAAAGCATACAATAACCCGGTAACGTTTCCTCGTGTTCGTCGAATAAGCCTGACGACATGCGTTTTATCCGAGCTTCCTTGGGCTCTCTCAAGCGTCGTCGCTTGGTGGACAGAACTCTTCAGCCAGTCCGAAATGCGAATGCTCGAGGAGGTCAATTTGGAGCTAGTAGCAAAGTCTTTGCTTGATCTTGGAGACAAGATGTGGGTGAACCTCGACGCTGCATTGGCGCGCCTACCTGTCAAGAAGGTTGTGGTGACCGCTAAACATCCTCGGGTGAGCGCCAAGGCTATTGAGCATTCGTTCCCTCAGCTTAGGCGTGCGGGCGTATTGGATGTATCGGAGAGAATTGATCTTGCAATACTTAGTGCATCTATTTTGTAGGATATATTTTGGGGACTAAGCTTTCTTAGGGTATATGGTCGGTATGTTTTGGGTCTATGTTGTTGTAGGGTATATTGTAGGGTACATTTTTTGGTCTCTGTGGTATATGGGATGTAATAATATTAATGATTATCAGGGATCTTCAACAATTGATTAATCACTGTGAGATCCGTATCCTTTGGCCCAAAAGACTAAAAATATTACTGCCCCATATGTATGAAAAACGATCTCGGAAAAATGTGGCGAAAATGAAATGCATCACTTTCCCAGATTTTCTCAGAGGAAGAATTCGAAGTACATATGCTGGATGAAAATTCGGAACAAAGGAAGCCACATTTTTCCTTTTTCCGGGTTGACCAGTAGCAGAATTGACTTTTTCGTGGGTATGAGCAGGAAAAGTAGCTCTTTTCGTTGCGACAGACCATAAAAATGGATATCTTCTCCGTGACCGACGAATCATTCTTGTGAGATCTCTAGACTTTGGAAGGGAAACATCATGAGTACGACATGAAATCAGAAGCCTCCGTGGGTACAATCCATCTGTTTCCAGACTTGAAGCTAAGCTTGATTCGATGCTTTGACAAAAGCCACCGTCGGAACCACCAACACTTATCGATACATCAAGTCAGTCAACTACCATACCAGTAGAAGCATCATGTTCTTCGACCTCTCTTAGTAATCGTTCTCTTTCATGCGCATTCTCGTCCTCCATCCGAGGTTCCATAATTGTATCGACCCAAGCCAGACCCCAGGCCATATTCCCAGCCTTGGTTCCCCCAAGCACGGGTTCAGCAGTAGGGTCCACTTCCAATCGACTTCGGGTTGGCTGCGTATCCAAGCGATCTAGACCGAGCGTAGTCAGGCCAGGCAAGTACGAGCATAGAGCGGAACTGACAGTAAACATTACCGGTATGAGGTTCGTACACACCCATGGGTAGAGGATCATCTGACGAGACCTTCCTCTTCTTCTTCAAAGGCTCAACATCCTCCTCCCTCATCGTTTCTCCACCACCAGGCTTCAACCTGTTCCGTCTCCACTTGGCCAACTCCCCATCGCCTTCAAGCACTCGCTGCGCCATCATCCACATCCAGTTCTCCTCCGTCACACCGTCTCTGCTCAGTAAACTTTTCCTGACTGCGTTTAACGGTCCGTCACTGTATGGTCCCCATCCGCTTCCGCCAAATATTGTTGTGGGCCCACCAGCACGGTAAATTCCTAGCCCTCCACCGCCGCCACCTTGGGGATTTGCACGGTCAGGTCGGGATGCAGCCTCAGTTGATTGAACATTTGGATCAGGAAGGTCTCCAACTAGGTCTCCTGGTTTAATTCCTCGTTCGGCTATCTCTTGAAGGATCTTCTCTTCGTAATAATCGTCTGTTACCCATCTTCCATCTGTGAGACGCGATTCAGTCATGCTTCTAAATCACGATAGCCAGACGCGTACCGAGTACCATTTTGCTTCCATGTAGTTTGAACGCACTACGTGCAGTGATGAGGGTAACACTCCTTGTGCGGAGGTGTGAACCCAGTTTGCCTTCCCCAATGAGATAGTCCTTTTCTGGTTGTGTCGCGTTGAGTTTGAACGCAAGAGGATTTCGACGAAAATAGTACAGCGAGTCCCGGAAGCCTGAGGTCCGCGCCGCGTCGATAGCGAGCATGTACAGTCGTTTATCATGACGACTGGGAAGAATAAATGTATTTGCCTTGAATTTCCGTCCTAGTCCTCTTGAATACGCCACCTTGAAGGGAGATAACGAATTGACGCACCTCCCAGGAGATTCCCCCATTTATCAATCTTCTCGTCGCCTTTGGGGTCGTCGGGAGTGACGAACTCGTCACCTTCAATGATATAGACTTGTCCTTGTAATTTCCGAAATGGCTTGCCCCCGCCCAGAGGAACAGGTTTCTCCTTCATATCTTCAACAACCTCCGGCTCACCGTCGTCCTCGCCTTCTCCTTCACCACCAGTCCCAGCGTCACCGTCGTCCTCACCTCTCTTCGGAAGCTTAATCATGATTGACCCACGCGGTGGCCTCCCTCTACCCCGAGGTCTCCCTCTGCCTCGCGCCCGAGTCGGCGGAGCAGCAGCAGCAGTAACGGCGGCGCCCCGTCCTCTCCCTCGCGGTCGGCCCCGTCCTCGTTTTATGACACGAATCTCGCTAGATGATGTGGGGGCATCTTCAACGCCACCTTCCTCGTTATCCGCTTCCTCAGTGTCTCCGCCTTCACCGTCAGCTTCGACTTCAGCCTCACCGTCGCTCTCTGTTTCGACAACATCCTCCGGTTCTGGCTCTGGTGGCTGTGGTGGAGCACGAGGCTTGATGATTATTTTCGGTAGGCCGCCTGACTTCATGAGTGGTACGGAAGAACGATGAGCGGCAAAGGCTTCAAATGAATTTCGGGGCAGCCTGAAATTTCGAAAGCTAGGATTGTGACGTAACGCCGTGACACAACACCACATGCATCCCTAATTTCAGCTTGGGTCCACAAGAACCCACAATGCGCGATCGATAAATATTTTAAGGCTTGAACAATTATATGAGATGAATGGCAGATAAAACACCCACGAATTCACAAAAGTAGTATATGATCAAGTAGTATGATTGAACCACGTTACTTTTACTTGACTTGGGGTGTTCACCATTGAAATCTCGGTAGAACTATGGCGGCGCACCATACTAGTACCGCACACGATACATGGTCGTAAAGCCATGGTCCTAGATGGTCACGTAACTACCCATATACCGTGCCATATGGTTGAGTTTGACAGTCTTATCAGTGTCGGTACAGGTACTTTACGGCCGTCTATGGTCGTTGATGACCATGAAAATAGAATTACAGATGTAGACTTACAGAGCGAAGCCATCTGTTATTTGATGCATGGATCTAACAAAATTAAAAATGTTAAGTACAGGGAGAACAAGTAGGCCATGATGAGTGAGGGTAGAGATGTCCAAGATTCAAAGAAAAGTTATGTGTGTTGCCCTGAACACGGACGAGAAATTGATAGACATCGAAAAGTAGACACTGCAAAGGAATGAAAAGGATAAAAGCACCCATAGCTATTTTGCATGATAAATTTCCTCTAAAACAGGCCCTATAAGACCAAAAGTCAGTAAAAATATTAGCCATATTACGACGTTGTACGGCCATCTGTCAGAGCTCTTGACGGTGACAGAACAACCGTATAACGTACCGTACAAATAGTCATTTATTGACAGAAGAATATATGTGAGTATCTCAGTCGGGCACAACGTGGGTGAAGCGACTGTATTGAGTCTACTGTACCTATTGACAGAAGAATATA